GAGGGAGACAACGCTTCCCTTTCTTCCGTTCCGAAATGGATCCCGTTTACATTTTTGTTCTTCCGTTTCTACAAGCGGCCCCGGGGCCCCAGTTCCTTTATTAGAAGCTGAGGCCTCTAGCAGAGTGCCTGCGCCAGCGCCACGCCAGCGCCAGGCCAGCAAGCGCAGGCAGAGCGCGCGAGATTGCTTCCGGACGTTGTGGGGAGGGGGGGGGTATTCAGTTACGAGGCCTTTCCTTTCATTTTGGTTTTGTTTGCCCGCTCGCCCCCGCCACGCCAGGACAAGGTGTACTTCGACGCCGTGCTGGGCGCGCTGCACGCGGACCAGGTGACGCAGTGCCGCTGCGTGGTGCGCGCCACCCAGCTGGGCCAGGCCGCCGCCGAGGACGTGGCGAGGCTCCGCGAGGAGGCCAAGGCCGAGGAGGCGGACCTCAAGCTCAGCATGCAGGAGCGGGCCTCGGCCGTCAAGTCGCTCCGCGCCGTCGTCGACCACAACAAGCGCGTCGCCAGGAGCCACGTGCACGCCGAGGTAAGAAGTTCCAAAGGCTAAAATAATTTTTCCGGAAATTTTTGGGGGGAAAATGAAATGTTTCCAATGTTTTTTTAAAAAAATAACTCAAAGGGAAAAATTTCAAACACGTGATTTAACAATTCTTGAAAAAAAAATCAAAAGTATTATTCTGGAAAATTAAAATCCCTACGCCGAGGTGAGCTAGGGCTTGTCCGAGACCGTGCAGAATCATGCGGTGCCTTGTACACTTGCCGTGCCCTGTGGGCAGAGCTCCACGGACCTCCGGCTGGTGCCGACCAGGGAGGACGACGGCTCGGCGGCGCTCCTCAAGGAGCTCGACCAGATGGAAGGCATCATGCAGGGGCTGCAGGCCACCACGCTCGTGGCCTCGCACCTAGAGGTGCTGCCCAGGTGAGACTCCCCATAGCACCCCAACTCCTCGTCGCCTTTTTTTTTTTTTTTTTGTTTTTGGTCGTTTTCTTTTGGTTTTACGTCCCGACGATAGAAGGTACAAACCTCCCTCCCTCCCTCCCTCCCCACCTGCAGGTTCGAGGAGCAGCGGAGACAGCGGCAGCGGCTGACTCGGCAGGTGGAGCGGCGGCAGCTGGCGCGCGACGAGGTGCTGGCGAGGCGCAACCACGCCACCCTCATCCTGCACGACCTCAAGCACAACATGAACGAGGCCGAGGAGGAGTG